GCTATGGGTTGGAACCGATTCGATGGCACTTAACAACAACAACAATGCGTAGTAATGGACTCAACAGCATCTAATAAGAAGAAGCAAAAGGAGGAACCCTTTGCTTTCTGGCATGAGACATTTTTCTCAGTGATTCATACATTTCAGTTATTCAGGAAGACCTGACTTGCAAAAAGGTCTAGTTCTTGTACGTTATATACCACTCACAGTCCTGATTTGCATTATTTCAAATTTCCTCCTGACCACAGTGAAATAATAGACATGAATGATGCTATGTTCATTTTGCCTAGTGTTAAACCTGCGTAAAAGATATCCCCTAGGAGGGTTTTATTCAAATTATTTCCAGACAAGAAAAATAGCATTCTTAGTCTTAATAACCAATTTGTTTTCCTTGACAGAGATTGATATCCCTTAGCAAAACCATCGGCTAATAATTTTACCTTGTTGTTTTGCTGTAGATGTGTTCTTTGTGCCATTGTCCTGGAGCCACAATTGGTTGTGATGTGAAAACATGTCACAGGACATACCACTACCACTGTGCATTGCATGACAAAGCTCAAATCCGAGAGAAACCTTCACAAGGAATTTACATGTAATTAATTAATGTCTCTTTTAAGTTTGGGGGTTCGTTTTGTTTTTTCTAAGTCCTCTTTAAGTTTATGTACAAGTTTTCCTTATTTCAAAGCAGTTAATCGTCATCATAAAGAGTGGTTTTTTGCTAAGAAATTCACATTTGGAGGACTGACCTAGCAAGGTGAATAGTAGGACATTGGGAATCCCATTTGTGAATGCGGTGACCATATACTGCTCATTTCCCTGATTTGAAAAAATGATTTTAATTTTCTTACTTGATAATTTTTAATTTCTTTATTTTTTTAGGGTTTATTGCCGAAAACACAAGAAAACTGCTTATAACTCTGAAGGTAAACATGATTCAGCCACTTTTCAAGTTTAAGAAGAAATTTGATGCAAAATGAGTCAATTATATTGCATTAACGTTTGCCATGGATGTTGTTAAGTGCTGTTGAGTCAGTTCCAACTCATAGGTGACCCTGTATAGAGTTTCCAAGGAGTGGCTGGTGAGCTTGAACCACTGACCTTTTGTGGTTAGCAGTCTCATGCTGATCCTATAGTGCCACACCAGGACTCTGCCATGAGAAGTATCTCAATATTGAATACACTTAGAAGAATTGAGAAAATTGATAGGATGAAACTAATAAAAAATGTAGTGAAAAAACTTGAATTTTTGAAGAAAACCTTAATCCCAAAGGTCTTGTAAAGAGTATGTTGAAGGTTTATTCATCTTTGGGCAAGGTGGTAGGTAGTATCGCACACTGCCAAGTCTGTCCCAACTCCTATTGACCCTGTATAGGGTTTCCAAGGAACAGCTGGTGGGTTAGAACGGCCAACCTTGTGGAGAGTAATCCAATGTTTATGCTAGTACATGGGATGAACTTCTATACTCTATTAAATATGGATGTCAGTAGACTTGTAAAGGTCATAAGTGAACTCTTTGCTAGCTTCAGACATTTTAGATCATGTCTATTTGGGGATACTAACACATTTTTGAATGCCTCCAGGTAGATGTGATCAGGAAATGGGCTTCCCTTTTCACTCTTCTTCCTGAGAAGTTTAAGATACCACTGTTGGTCGTTTTGACGTAA